GTAGAAGGCACTGATTACCAAAACGTATCACAAATACTTTTTTTTATTTTCTAAAATTATTTGGGGGGGGGGGGGCAAACAGAGGGCAGACCAGATTAATGGGGGGGCACTTGCCCGCCCCCTGGCGCCGCCACTGACCATGAGCCAGGCTACACAGAAATGTATTAATTTCACTTCAAAATGGCGACCATCGGTTGACCTAAATCAAATTTCTTCTCTGAACGTTTTTTAGGCATTCCTTCAAGGATTCAGAAAATGTAACTGCCATGTCTGTAAGTATAATATCTTAAACTTAGGGACTTTCCACGTTTCAAGATGGTGACACTTCCGGATTGAGCTACAAACTCCATTTTTTGTGTACGGATCAGTATTGTCGTAGCTAGTAGAGAAAAAATAATTCAAGGTGATCTGACCTATATTTCGTCGATTTTTTTGAAAATTTTATCCTTAATTTCTCCAAGGGGAGATAGTTAGAAAGTTTCTAATGACATTTTTCAAGTCGCATCGGTATGATCTACTTACATTCAGGAAAATTGTGCAACTATTAAAGAAGTTGTCAAATTGGTCCTAACTTCCTGAACTAAATCACAGCGACGAATTCTCGAAATTCGAAAATTTGAAATTGCAGGTGAAATTGCCTTTCGTCAAGGTACTCAAAGAGAGAGAGAGAGAGAAAGAGATGGGGTTTAACGTCCACACGACACAAACTAGGTCATTTCGGGACTATCCTATGGTTTAATTTTATTTCAATAATTCGCTTGCTCGTAGGGGTCTTTAGCAGTGGGAGGAAACCGGAAGGTACTCAAAGAAAAAAGAATTAGTAAAATAGGTCAATAAACAACACAGTTACGATTATGCAGTGTTAAATATTTTCGTTCGTAAAATTCGGTGATTTCGACTTCTTAAAACGTTTCCAAAATATATTTAAACAATACTCACCATCCATTTTTTTTTGGGGGGGGGGGTAGGTTCAAGTTTCAGAAACATTCTATGGTTCGATTCTGAGAAATCCGATTTGCAGAAAACACACACACACAAAATATAATAATAATCTTAACAGAAACAATAAGCTTTCATATGAAATATGAAAGCATAATAACTTTAACAAAAACAATAAGCTTTCATATGAAATATGAAAGCTTAATAATCTTAGTAATAACAATAGTCTTTCACCAGAGGTGAAAACCTAAAAAGTTCTAAAATATATGGAGAAATGCATATAAATTCTTATTAGATTTATGAATAGTTTCCAATTAAAAGACATATTTTCAATGGCTTTATGTGTTTGTTGTAGATTTCATTTGACAAATGTCTTGCCTGAGTTTGGTGATGAGCATTTTCTGCTTGGTTTATCAATGCAGAGTGATAAATGGTTTGATTGATCAATGCTTTATGAAAAGATAAATGTGCAAGTAATTAATGAGTATCATCTATTTATTATGGGATTGAGAAAGAGGACAGCACAGCCTTACTGTCGGCTTGTTCTATTTAGTATCACAGTCATACTACAGTACAACGATGCAGTTTAAATTTAGTATTAAAGATACATTATGGGAGATTCAATAATGAGTTGTCAGTTCTCACTATAATAGTTAAAAACTAGATAATGTAAAGGCAATTTGCTGAAAATTTCATTCAAATTGATCCACTAAGAACAGAGAACAAAGCGCTTGAATTTCCGCCTAGTCTTGATCATCATTACTAAAGTCAGTACGATAAACAGCATAATCTTGATTATCCATTTAATCGTTAAATCGTGAAGGAAAGTTATGCAGTAAATCGGCTCAGAATCCACTAAAGATCGCAGACTAGCGATGCCATCTAGAGTTGATTATGGTCTGGATAGGTTATTTAATGTCTAATTAATAATTTAGATAACATTTCAGGCCTAAAGAAAGACCTACAATAGACAGATTTAGCTCTTGCATAATGTATGTTTAATCTAGAATATAAAGAAACTATTTAACTCTGTTCTATATCACACTACATACAGAGAAATATTTTATTCTGTGTATTGATTTTGATTTAAAAGCATTATTTAGGGCGAGAACAATATGTTTCATCTTAATATCGTTTAGTCTAATTATTATCTTTATGGCCTGAATAAGGCTGAGTGCTTCATTATTTTCTCACAGCTGTAGGAAATATAATTGGAAGATTTTATATTAGAAGTTGGAATAATTTAGATGCATGAATGATAACTCAATGGTCCTACCATGATTATGTCATCTACAAGTAAAGTGAGAATTGTGCTGTAATTTATGAGAATATTAAAAGTATGTGAATGTTTTGTTGTAGATGATAATGATGGTATGGAGGCTATTAGTTACCAGTTCTTGAGAATATTATACTATATTAATGTGTTAGATCTTAATTCATATCAAATAAGAATATTTTATGATAGTTCTCCATATTACATTTACCTGCAATAATCCAATTTATAGATTGAGGCACTAATACTGTGGCAATTGTCACGAGTTGGCAAAAAAATAATTTTGAGATATATACCTGTCACCCGCAATTTAAAGGGGATGGGAATATGCATACAATATAATGCAGATCTGGTGTTCGGCAATCTGATTAAAATACAGATCTATATTTCGTTTCTTTTTTCATACTTTCGATGGCCTAGACTACATGAAGATCTGACCGGTTGTAGTGAGAGGTTGCATCAGGGGTCATACAAGCGGCTTTTGACCCTATGACATCAGATATTTTATCAACTGTGTATATCCCACCATGGACCATATAATATATACGGTCAATGGTGTGATATACACAGTTCTGTGCACCGTACGCCAAGAACTCGCCGTAACAGACCAGTTCATTGGCTAATCCCTTATTACAACAACCAGAATGAGAGTTATATAACAGCTCTTCCAGATCCTAGTGACAAGTAAAAAAACGAAATTTTGAACTAAAAAAACGAAACGAAACAGGATCTGTGTTTTAAATCAGATTGGGTATTCTGTTGTAATAATTGCATGGAGGTCAGTGAATGTTCCTGCAGACAGTATTGCTCAAAGAGACATTGCAAAAAATGAATCTATCACTGCTACAAGGTTGCTCAGTTATTTTGGGCAACTTCTTGTGTGGGCTCAACCTAATAGGTTCCATGCTATACAAGGTTACCAAGCTAGTACCATTATAGAAATAATAGAATAATAGGTTATTAGTAGTACCATTATACAAAGTTCTAACAATGAACTGAATGTTCTACATTTCTCAAAGATTCCAATGAGACATTCAAAATGTACCTATATTTTTGGAGATTTTACTCAATTAAATTTGTCCACGAATGTTGTCATAGTAGACATAGAGATATGTTAAAACCGAGGGGTACCTCTACTCCAGTAAACTTTGTTTAAAGTAACACCTTGTTGTTAGACAAGGTCACACTGGTGTACCGTAACTATTCTAAAGATCGTTTTAGCTTTCTTCTTACAGAATGTACAGTTTTCTTTAGTTGTATTGTGAAGATATCTTAATCTCTTGAGCATCTGATATGTTAATGACATGGAGATGACTCTGGTACAAATACACAAACTTCTAATTACACTAGGAATAAATCTCAAGTTGAATTGCAAATTAGTGTAAAGTTTAGAGACCACACAATTTGTTAAAATTTGTGTGGGTGTGAGGAGGAAGTATAGTATAAGCTATATGGTGTGTATGTTTTGGGTTGTTTGCTGGAGTGACAATTTCTATATTGACTAGAGACTTACTGTCCTAGTTTATCAAACTAAAGAACAGACGAAACATTTATATACTGGTGAATAGAGACTATACATAGCCACATTAATTTATTGTCAAATATGGGTAGATGAGGGTAGACCTAGTTGACAGAGTACTAGTCTCTAACTAGCCACAGGGTGGGAAAATCACTCCAATTTGTTGACACTATGCCTGAAACTGGGAACTTAACCTTAGAGTTTGATTTCAAGAATGCAAAGATTCTCTTAAGTAAGCAAGAGATGTAGCAAGCTGAGTGCAAGCTAGCTTCTGAGGTCTTGTGGCTATTAACAAATGGTGGGTATGTAATGATAAAATGGAATCTTGTGAAAATTTTGACACTAATTGTCTAGATGTGACCCCTAGTATTTGAAAATGGACAACATTGTCGACTCTAATCGTGTTTGATGTAGGCTTATTGAGAAGGAAAAAACCCATTGTTTTTTAAAATTATCAGAACAGAATTTTTTTGTTTTTTTTATTCTAAAGATATCAATAATCTATTAGAACCTTCCCAATGCATTTTTATCTGAAAGTATATAACCTCTTAATTTGATTATTTTAGATCATCATCTAGGCCGCGATCTTAGTGCGTTCTTGGGCCAGTCCTTAACACTTATCTATTACTTAGCAGGTGTAATTCTTAATTGCAGCTACTGTAAAATGGTATAATTGTCAAAATAGATCCCTTAGAGTGTATTAACTAGTAGAAAGATAATCCTTGAGTGGCATTTAGCGATTGAACACATTAAAAACACAACACAGTTTATATGGAAATACAATCACTGGTTTATAAGTATAGCACGACGTTTCGACAAGTATTCTCTTATCGTTATCAAGCACAAATCATTTGTGCTTGATAACGATAAGAGAATACTTGTCGAAAAAGTATTCTCTTATCGTTATCAAGCACAAATCATTTGTGCTTGATAACGATAAGAGAATACTTGTCGAAACGTTGTGCTATACTTATAAACCAGTGATTGTATTTCCATATAAACTGTGTTGTGTTAGTAGAAAGATATACTGTTTTTAATAACAAATAAATTTTTCCTGGTAGTCTGGATAAGTTTAAATTTGTGCCAGTTGTTGAGGAATATACATGTCTTTAACAATGATATACCATAATCTTTATTATTATCTGTTTATTAAGATGAATGCTAACAGCCTACTCATCAACACATTGCTTCTCATATTCCATCTTTTGAACATCTTATATTTTGACAAAATGGATTTGAAGTTTTTAAAAAAAAAAATTTCTTTTTCAGCTGCATCCAAAAGAACTAAACCAAATACTTGGTGAGTCAGATTCCTTATTCAATAAATATACTATGTTTTTAGCCTTTCATACTGACTGTTCCTGATCTTACTTATCTGTCATCCAACCGCTAAGGTTTTACATTTTCAACTTCTTCTTGGGGTGAACTGCTTGATGAATATCAACCAAATTAGTTAGACATGTTGTTTGGGTAGTGCTTCTTTAGCTTTCTTCAAATGAAGGCACCTTATAATTTAAACATGCGAATTTAAACAATTTTACTCATTTTGAACTTTCTCTCCAAATCTAGAAATTGGGTAGTTTTTTTTTTTAGGGCACCTTGAAAGAGCCAAATTAAGACAGAATCAAAACCTATCACTGTTTGATTTGACCAGAAATGCTGGTGAGACGTACATAATGCAGCTGAAATGTGATTTTTGGCATGACTGTAGGCTGGACATTTACAGAAACAACATCTTTACTTTATAGAGGGCAATCTAAACACCCAAAAGAGTTATAAAAAAATCAGAAAAGTACTCAAAAATACATCGACTCCACTGAAGTCCATTGGCAGCCCATGAGCACACTAAGATGACTTGGAGCACAGAAACCCATTGGGGTTCCCAAATGTTTCAGTATTTAAGTTTTTTTTCCAGTAATTAGGCTTTCAGACTTTCAGAAATGCCTGAATGTTCGAAAACCGGAAGTCAACCTTGGTTTCAAAAGTTCATTAGCTATTCCAAAAATAACTAAAACTGCGATGCAGTAATGACAGGTTTCACCGATGCCATGTTACCCGTAAACATATGTCACTTCCGGTACCAATGAAACCATTAAACATGTTTCCACATAAGCATTGCACACATCAAATAAAATGGACGCAGAATCAACCAAATCCAGCAATATCAATTCATTTTATACATTTGTTACATGTAAGTGTACAGTACTTCCGGTGATAATGAAAATGTTCAATTAGTTTTATGAAATCAGAAATTGCATAAGGCATCACATGGTGAAAATTTTATTTAAATCGAATAATAATTGCCACTTTTATAGACCAAAAACCTTGAAAAGTGACTTGTGGAAAATCGTCTATTTCTCTGTAACCGTACAAGTTAGACACCATTTTGTGGTATCTGTATCATCGTATGGGTTCATTCTATTTGTTGATTGGAATCAAATATCATAATTTTAAAAACGTTACAAATCAGACTCATTTGAATAAAATATCTGTTTTGAAGGCTAAAAATACAGTTTTTGCCAAAATGACATTACTTCCGGTGATACTATAAATGTTAAATTAGTTTTATAACGTCGTCTTTGACATAAGGTATCACATGATGAAAATTTTATGAAAATCGAATAATAATTGACACTTTTATGGACCAAAAACCTTCAAAAGTGACTTGTAGAAAATCGTCTATTTCTCTGCAACTGTACAAGTTAGAAACCATTTTGTGGTATCTGTATGATCGTAAGGGTTCATTCTATTTGTTGATTGGAATTAAATATCATCATTTTATAAATGTTACAAACCAGACCTTTGAATAAAATACCTGTTTTGAAGGCTAAAAATACAGTTTTTGCCCAAATGACGTCATTTCCGTTGACAGTGAAAATGTTAAAATGGTTTGGCCTAATCAAAACTGCCATTAGGCATCAAATGGTAAAACAAATTTGAAAATCGAATGATAATTTACTCTTTTACAAGCTAAATAACGTGAAAAGTGACGCATGCACCGAGGCGAATTCAATAGGGGGCGCGCGCCCCCCCTAATTTTCGACCGTGCCCTTTTTTACTGCTGAATGTGCCTTTTCTCAGACTCAAATATGTCCGTTCCCAACCCGTTGTAGGGATCCAAAATGACTCAAACCATCGACTCAAACACACCAGTCTGGGAAATAGCTCTTGGAATGGCTACAGATGCAAGGAAATGACGGATAATTTTCTTGGAGCGCCCCCCCCCCCCCCACAGCGGTGTGCCCCCTCTCCGCGGTCAATGCCTTCATTTTGCAGCGCCCCCCCTTTTCAAAATTCCTAGATCCGCCCCTGATGCAAAATTGCCTATTTCTCGGCAACTGTGCAATATTATAAATTAAATTTCACATACATTCACTTCGTATGGATGATTGCTACAAGTTTATGAAAGTTACAAAGAAATATTTGAAAATATGAAGACGCTGTATGGGTTGTAAATAGCTTAAATTTACACCCTTTTTCACCTTTTAATCGAAATAGCCCGAAATCGAAATTGAAAAAATTGAGCCTGATGTTTTGTGCGCCTTCAAAGTGCGCACCCTTTCTGTTATACCAGATTTGAAAAAAATAATATTTGCTTTCAAAAAGTGGTACTGAACTGCCGAAATTGTAGTTTTTGGTAAAATTATGTCACTTCCATTGCCGACAGGAAAATGTACCGGTAACCAAAAAAATGACATTTTGGAAAACGGACCTTATGAACTTTATATTATACAAATTGAACCATAAATAATTAATCCAGTAGACGTGGTACAAGGGTTAATCAGCGAACTGGATGTATGAGATGTGTTGTTGACGTTTGGGAAAGTAGGACGAGGGGAAATGTGTAGGGAGTGAAGTGCTGTAAAGGGATAGTTAGATGTATTATGAATGGTTAGAGTGGCTGTGGTGTTACGGTGAAATACTATGCCGCCACCGTAACACCACAGCTTTATGATTTGTTAGACAGGAGTGATGTAATGGGTGTCAACAACTGGGTATGCTGGTACCGTCGCAACGTAGCCGTGAAATATATATTGTGGGGGGGAAGGGCGGAAACGGAAAAATATACAATGTTGACAGTATGTGCCAGGCATGAGGCTGCGCAGACCGAGCGGCAGCTCGATAGGGAGTGTGTGGGAGGGTCACCCTCATAAAAAATTTTTTTTTTAAATTTCAGTTTTCTGTAAGCAGTGAAAACACTATTTTGGCATTGTTTGCGGGGTTAAACCTAAAAATCACATTAATACACCTATTGCACGATATTGTGAAACTAGCTGACGAAGACAGCTCGGGCGGCGATTGTTCGACTCGGGGCTGCTCTGTCAGTATCTAACAAACGCATTTAGTTCGCGTACAACTTTTAAAAACCGAATGTCAGTATGGTATTTCTCACATAATTGGTTATCGCAAAAACAGAGTAAACTGAAAGCGAGTAATCTCGACTCAAACCTATAGTCTATAGCCTACTTACTACACTCGTCACTAGGCTTCCTGTATTAGTGTTTGTGGACGGTTTACTACTCAGTGATAAGCCTGCGCCGCAAAAAGAGGTCTCGCCTTTTATTATTAGTATAATGACTTCCTCATGTGCGGCAGGTTAGTTTGCTTCTAAAAACACTGTTTTCCGTTCCAAAAAATACAAAAGTAATTTTCTACCAGATGACCATGGTTCTTTTCACCGAGACTAGATAATTTCTCTCGGTGTAAGAATATAGCTATGGATAAGTTCATACAAGGTCAATAAATCCGCGGTCACTTCGGGTCACACTGTTGAGAAAATAAACCGATGGGTTTGTTTAGTAGCAAATCGAGCGTGAATCAACTGAGTTTGTACTGAAAAATTTTTGAGTGATATGTATGAACTGTCTTCACACATTCGGTTTATAATTAGCGATACACAGGTACAGTGGAAAGTGTTGTACTTCACAGACTGTTTACCTCCGAACTACCTCCGCACGAAATCCCCGATTTGGGTACTTGTTAAAAGAAAAAGAAATAGTACCTGTGCGCATGCCAGTAAAAAAAACCTAAGAGTTCGCGCATAAAAATGCCCGAACGTACCAGGCGCCAGGTCATCTAGGACCGAAAAACTGAATTGGCCAATGGCGGCCAACGCGAATAAATGAGACAAAAATTGTTCACATTTTTGCTCAAGTCAGATGACCCTTTAATCCCGTGTAAAATACCATCAAAAAATATTCATAAAAGTTTCCTCAAAATCGAATAAAAATTGTGACCTGTGGAGTGTCCACAAACAATTTATGGACGGACAGACGGGGGCATTTTCATTGGTTACTTACTTACCTCTAAGTTAGCTGATGAGACTTTCTAATGGGAAATTAAAATGCGAAAGGAATCTTTAAATGTGGCCCAGACAAAATTTGTTATTTCTCAGTTTCCGGTGTCGACACAAAACTTTATCGGTAACAAAATAAGTTGAGAATTTGCACCATGAAACATATGAACTTTGTATTATACAAATCGGGCAATAAATAATTAACCTAGAACCTATAAACTGAAATTAAAAAGGCTAAAAATCTTAAAAAATGATCCTGACAAAATTTGTTATTTCTCGACAAGGGAAGATGCTAAAAGCAATTGTTTGACATCTATATGATCGTATTGATCAAATCTATATGTCCATTGGAATCAAATATCATAATGTTAAACGAATACTAAATAAAACTCACTTCAAAAAGAATATTTGGTTTGAAGGCCAAAAATATAGTTTTTCCTAAAATGACATTACTTCCAGTGAGAATGATAATGTTGAATTAGTTTTATCAACTCAGAAATGGCATACGGCATCGCATGGTGAAAATTTTATGAAAATCGAATAATAATTGCCACTTTCATAGACCAAATACCTTGAACTGTGACTTGTAGAAAATTGTCTATTTCTCTGCAACCGTACAAGTTACAAACCATTTTTTGGTATCTGTATGATCGTATGGGTTCAATCTATTTGCTGATTGGAATGAAATATCATAATTTTAGAAACATTACAAATCAGACTCATTTGAATAAAATATCTGTTTTAAAGGCTAAAAATACAGTTTTTGCCAAAATGACATTACTTCCGGTGATAATGAAAATCTTAAATTACTTGAATGAAATTGTAAATGGCATTAGGTACTACACGGTGAAAATTTTATGGAAATTGAATAATAATTGACACTTTTATGGACCAAAAACCTTGAAAATTTACCTGTTGAAAATCGTCTATTTCTTCGCAAATGAACAAGTTAGAAACTATTTTGGGATATCTATATGATCGTATGGGTTCATTCTATTAGTTGA